GGGGGCTCGGGGCGCGGGGCTGATGGGCTCCACCGAGGCCGCCTCGCTCAGCTCGGGGCCCGCCGGCCGCTTCCTCAGAGCATCTTCAAAGGGTTCTGCCCGCAGCAGGGGCCCAGGAGGAGCAGATGACAAACAGCACAGTGTGAGGGATGCGGCCAAAGGCAGTTCTACCAGGAGACAGAGCTCGAGACAAACGACCGGCTGGTGATAAGACAAGGCTCTCCTAACAAGCGCTTGAAAGCACAGCCCGAGCCTTGGNCCCTGCCCACTGCCCACTGCCCCCTGCCCCCTGCCCGCTGCCCCTGCCCGCTGCCCGCAGGAGGCCATGCTTGTTACAAGCCATCTGCTTTCTCTGGAACACTGGCCAGCCTCTAACAAATACATTCTCTGCCAACCAAAGGAGGTACACAAAGGAAAGACAAGTTGCAAGATTTTGATCCTGTGCAAAACTTAAACCTAACCCATCAAATGTTTATTTCAAAATCTTTGCATGGGGTGAATTTTTTAAAAGAGAATAAAACTGACGTTTAATTGGGTGCCTTTTGTGTGCCTTGCCCCAGGGTAGGAGCCCTACCTCCCCTTGACCTTCCCTGTGGAAAAGGCTCTTGTGAGCGTGTCTGAGCGTAAGCTTGACTTCAGGCCCTTCAGGACACCCCTCACTGCAGGGCCCCCGTCGCAGTGAGACTCCTGCTCTAACATCAACAAGTATCAGCGGCAACCAAATCAGCAGGCCTGTCTGATTAAATCTCAGTGTTTCATTTCAAATGAGTAATTGTACAAAGGCTCTCTGAGCAATGCGTGGACTGTTGCACAAGTGTCTGGCACTATAGTGCTCATCTGGGACACACTGCCAAGCCAGTCAGTGCAAGCACTGCAAGAACAAATGAAACCAAAATTGGGTCATTTTGATACTCATGAAATCATTTATAATTCTGGAGTGAAAAAGAAGGTAAAACTATTGATTAAAAGTTTATTTTTATATTTTACCTTTTCCCTGATTACCTGGAGTAGTTGAAAATTTGTATTTTATTGTTTCTGCACCACCACCATCATCACCACCACCATCACCATTATCCCATTGTCACCACCATTTATCATCATCACTACCACCACCACTACCACCACCATCATCACTATCACCACCAACACCACCACCATCACTACCACCATCACCACCACCACCATCACTACCACCACCACCACCATCATCACTATCACCACCACCACCATCACTACCACCACCACCACCATCATCACTATCACCACCACCACCACCACCATCTCCACCATCACCACCACCATCATCATCACCATCACCACCATCACCACCATCGCCACTATCACCATCACCACCACCATCGCCACGATCACCACCATCACCGCCACCATCGCCACCATCGCCAACACCATCACCACCATTGCCACCATCACCACCACCATCGCCACCATCACCACCATCACCACCATNCACCACCACCATCACCATTATCCCATTGTCACCACCATTTATCATCATCACTACCACCACCACTACCACCACCATCATCACTATCACCACCAACACCACCACCATCACTACCACCATCACCACCACCA